ACTTTCCCATCTTTCCATACCAGCTCCAACGTAGTGAGGATACTCATGTTATGTTATGTAATATCTAGTATCCAAGATCTTAGTACTAAATGATATCCTCTCCCTGCCCTATATTCAGACAAACGATGTCGACTCCTATCGCACATCACTATCGCCTGCACTCAACAATATCTCACGTCTCAAGCTTCAGACACGTAAATCAAACACGCGGATTAGAAGTGTTGATCGAGACCTTTCTCAAATTCCTAATTGCTTTTATGCTATAAACGCCATGCAGTAAAATCCCAGGGTATCTATTCATCTAACAACGCCGTAAAACAACTCCATTTCTTCCCTTTGCCGACTGGATTTAACAGCTCATCAAGAAAGACAAGATGCTGCTCTTTCGAAATCATCAACTTTCGACTTGCTTTCGTGGAAATCTTCATATGCTCATTCCTCTGAATCAGCCCCCAGCCTTCCGTCCGCTTCATACATCCCGCTAGTCAATGCACTCAATTCGGGATGGCCATACGTGTGCGCCAACGAGAGGCTGTATAAGCGAACCTATTGCACTTGACATCGTTTGATCTCCATAGGTACATTTTGTCGGATAGTTTCTCGCCCGCACTGTAGCCAAGAATAAACGCCTCAGACCCACAGCACAATATTTTTTCGTGTCGATCTTGTTGATATTTTCCGGCAGAGGTTCGGTATATCAGTCGATCGAGAATATGCTGAATCAAAATCTGGCACTTGAAATTGTTGTCAATGTTATGCGTCAGAGGCTCGTTGTAATTCATTTTGTAATTAGAGGCTCGTTGGACAACAGACGACGGGCAAAATTATCAGTACCTTGCTCGAACGTGATGCGAATCACTAGAGTGGGGAAGGTTATGATTCTCAGTCGTTACAATTCCAAGTCAAATCTCATACCCAAGCTCCATACTGTAATTGCGTTTCGATCTCAAGTCCATAATCATTCGCGCTTCGATGACGTTTAATAAATGAAGACTCAAGACGTCGGGCCCATTACATCACTTGCTTCTCTTCCAGTCGGCTGTCTCTTGAATCTTTCTCTGACCCTCTCGTATATGGGAACTTTGGGTTCTTGAATTTCGTAAAGTGGTTTATGCTCCTCGAAGATATCGTGTAAATCATCGTAATCAACATGGACGAAAGCTCTTTCGACATCCGCCAAACCTGTTTTGTTAGCATTTTGCAATTTTCTTTACGATAGCACATTCAACATACCCTCAAGCTTTCTTTGCAAGGTTTGGGAAACATCATGCGTGACTTTCAATGTTTCTTCTTGTCTCATAATAATGTCGACTTCGACATAGTATTTCTCACCGGCAGAATACGCTCTCGCCTATACCAGGGGTTAGCCATAACCAAAGATCAATAGAAAAGTTAGGTTCTTACAGTATCAATCTTCAAAATTCTGGGGTCATGAGTAACTGCGACATATACGAGCTTGTTCAAAAACTCTTGAGGTGCACTCTTTCCAACCAGAAGCCACATATGTTCGAAAGCAGTTGATGCCCATGAGAATAGGATCAAGCATGCAATAGCAATAGCACCGGCGGGATCCAAGAACCAAACTTTTGCGTACTTAGTACCCACTATGGACATAACCAATCCAAAACTGTTAACCACAATGTCGTTTCGATGATCTAACATGAAGATTGCACAAGTTGGATATCGCCGTAAGGTAAAACAGTACACGAATAGGACAGCTTTGGAGAAGATAGCGACACCGACGCATACTAGAGGAACCGTTTTGAGCGTTTCATTTTCCCTTGGACCATCGGCCAAACTTCGAGCTGATTCGATAATCAATTCCACGGAAACGGTAGTCATAAGTGCACAAAAGAGAATAATTCCAACAGTTTCAACTCGTTTGCGACCCTAAGAGAATTGTGAGATGAAAATGCTTCATAAACGGTGAGATTAGATTACGCACGACTGGAAATTTTGTGATGTTAGGTTTGGCGGCTATTCGTGAAGTAATTAACATCACAATAGAACTAACCAAATCCATCTGTATGTGACATTAGTCTTCATCCGTAGTTCACAACCAACCTGGAAACTTACAAAAGCATCTGCAGCAGTGGCGAAAAGCGCCAGACTTCCAGTTGAGACAGCGGCAAAGACTTGTATGATGAACAGACAAAAATTGACTGTAGAACTAGCGTAGATAGCGAATTTGATCTTTCCACCATTTTGAATTCCATCTTCAACCTCTGCGGCTTCCTCATCATTGCTTCCTAGATATGCATCGATCAAAGCATTTTGTCTAGAGTAGAAATTCTTGATCTTTCTAACTTTCCGTGTTCGTTTTTGATCAGGATGTTGTGTGCGAAGTGCAGCAATGCTTATGTCTTCTTTCTTGGAATTGAGGAGGGCATATGGATCGGCGTTGTATGCAGTATCGACACTATCGTAAGACATGATAGGTGTAATGTGTGGCAGAGGAGTTGTAGGAACTGTAGGAATAGGAGAGAGCCCCGTAGAAGGGGAAGTCATTGCATCGAGGTTGTTGTCGTTGACAATGTGAGTATCAGTAGGAGATGCCATCTGCGATTAATTGTAAGCCAGCTATCTTTCTCATGCTTCCATTTTCAGTTACCTTTACGGATGATTTCTGCCCACGAGACTTGATAGCTTCTCGCGAAAGGCGACAGAGATCCTTGTGATATTTTTTGTATCCCCCGACGTGTAGCTAGAAAAATTAGAGAATATTCTTATCCCAGCTGTTGGCCACGACCCAGAATCCTCTGAATACAAGACGAGGTGAGGCGTTGGTGATTAGGAAAATATCACAAAACGAAGGCGAATATTCCAGCGTGAATGGGCAGTGCTTCACAGAGTATTGAATCCTCATTTTAGCCGCTCGAATAGACTCGGGGTATACATTATGCTTATCATGAACATGGATTCCAATATGGCGTTCAAGCACAACATGGGACAGGGCCGAGACAATTGAATCTATGGTTCGTTCTTAATGGTTGCCGCCAAAATAATTGTGTAAGGGGATCTAATCGCCAAGCTACATTTACTAAGGGACCGTGACGAGGGCGTGCTTAATTGTGCATTGTTTATTGGCTCAAGGATTAGCTGAGAGTTACCTGATCTGGATTAAATCAGATGAAGATGTTACACCGCTTTTCGAGGAGGATCAGATAATAGTGGAGCCCCATATTAATACTGCCTAATGATTAGCGCGATAAGCACGAGAGCGTAAAGATCAGCATTTTATGAAGGATTTATGAAAGAGTTATGAAAAGGCTATGGAATATCAAATCATTTCAAGGCTCCAAGGTTTTTTACTAGTCTCGGCAGAACACTTCCTGCCATGCATGGATCCTCGGTAAAATAAACTGCCGTAATAAACCTTATAATGAGTTCATATAACTGTAAACTTTTTACATGGAGATTTCATGAGCATATGGGCTTCTTGAATACACACGGCTACTTGAACATTACATCTACAGTACCTACCTAGACTCCTACTAGGTACAGTTAGAGTGCGCTTATCCTTTTGCTCAAATCTGTTGGCAAAGTTTACATTGGATCTACGTGTGTGGGGATGGGCATGGCGTGAAATTACAGATGGAACTACAAAGACGACGACGACAATAGCAAAAACAACGACGACGACGATGACAACGAAAGAGAAGTACAGTTGTTTCTCTCTCTTCTGTCGGTTCAAGAATTGCAAAAGAAGCACATTCATATCCGCCCGAGCAATCAGTCTGACGTCTCGTCCTCTGAAACGAATGGCCTCAATTTGACTTGATACTTAGGGTCGAACTGCCTTTACATCTCATCAAGAGAAGCAAAAGAAGTATCATTTTCTCGACGACAATCGCCCAATTTACCCACCTAACTAGGTAGTCTTCCCACTGGCCATGTATTCAGATTGCAATTGGTAGCTAAATTCGACCATCATGTCGTTTGAATGAGTGGCCATAGCTTGCCTGGTGCTGTTTTTATCAACTCGCATGCTTCAAATTTATTTTTGGAGAGCATGACATTATAGACAGATATTCACAGCGGTACCCCCAGATATTGTTTCAACGTCAAAGACTCGGCTGGACTTATATTCTGGAAGCTTATGCGCGCTCTCCATACCGAGTGCGTCTCAGGAAAATTCGGGTTGATCGTTACGACTTTCCTTATCTTGTTTGACGAAGACGCTCTCAACCCTAGTTGTGCCTTAGGGGCTGGATTACGACGAAGTTATCAAAAATTCCCATCATGCTAACAAGACACTTTCCTGAATAGTTCCAAAACTGATGGAAGCACTCCAATTTCTATCTGGTGCGCTAGTAACGCATGAAGGTACAAGCTAGGAAATGCGGCTGGTTTAGGGCTGTTGGGACCAGCATATATCGTGGGCTGCTTCACGGCAACATAATCCCTCCACATGTGCGATTTAAGTTTCACCATTTTGTAGATGCTGCATTGATCGATGTATCGTATCAGCCTCGTGGTAGAAAATTTAGCCAACCTATATTTATCTCCATCCTACTACACTATGAACTATCTCAACCTTTCTGAATATGGCCCTTCTTAACCTATTGTGGGTCACCTTTTGTTCTTAAATGAAAGATAAGAGAAGATAATTTTTGTTCCGTTAGTACAAAGTTGAAGAACAAGTCAGTCTGGAAAACCTTGCCAATGGAAGCCAGGTCCATAACCGGACATTCCTGGTCAACCAAAATGCCTTGGTCTAACTCCCGTGATTTCCAAGAAAGTTCATCAATCCTCTTCAAAAAAAAACGGCTCCTTGCACACACATGCATACATTTGCATGCACACTCACCGTCTTCAGAATCTCATATGCCAGCTATATCTTTCCGCCGTTCACATATTTACTTTCTGGTTTTCGTATACTTCAATTTTGTTCACACTATACCTGGTGCGTGGAGACACAATTCATTACACTACTATATTATTATACCACTTTCGATTCTTCTTCCTCAATCCGACCGTTCTCTTTCTCGATCCTGACATCAATACTTAAATCTAAAGTCAAGTCTCTTATTACCATCCTTCTCTCTCGCTACACTATCATTTTGATATTCTGCCTTCTCTTCAAGGGTCATTTGGTCCCAAACCCTTTCCTTTCTTTTATTCAACACAATCAAGTATTGTCTTTGCGCCACAAATGTTACAAGTGACAATGCACAAATGGAAATAAGAACCTTATTTCCTTGCTTATAATATGGTGCATCATATTTGCGATAGATTTGAGAACCGATCAAGGATCCAATCTGGACAATAACGTTGTAAGTCGCTGCTGTAATAGCGCGCTTCTTGACGTCGAATGTGTTTTCTGAAATCCAAGCGGAGACGATTGGATGGAAATAAGGGTCTGGTTTAAAGTTAGTTGGTGAAGACATAGTAATCGTATCCAAACACTTACATCCAGAAATCAATGTCACCAAAGACCATCTACCCCACTCCCTTCCACCATCAGGGATTGTCAAGAGCGCAGTGAGTAACGGCAATATCCAAAATTCGCCGAAAATACAGTGAAACGTACGTTCATTAAAGAAATCACTGCTGTATGCAAGTGAAAGCATAGTGACGATTTGTATGGCAGCAGATGGAATAGTCAGCATGTTCGAATTGAAGGTAGTATATCCCAAGCGCTTCAATGTGAGTGTGATGTACGATTGAACAGGCGTCGCAGGAATGTAGGCTACCAGGCCGATGAAGTAAAGTCCCCACATGGAATAGTCACTCCATGCCTCACGAATATCTTTGAATGTGGCTGGTTCTCTCAACGCTGTAAGTCCTTTTGCTGGATCATCCCGAAGAATTCGCTATCTGGTCAGCACCGAAGCAATTTGTTGAATTTCAAAACTTACGTTTACCATAATTACTTCCTCCCGCTCTGTGTACCATGACTTGCGGCATAAAACACTGGAAGTCTGCGTTGGCGATTGAGGTAGGTAAAAGTAACTCTGAATTTTTTTTTAGCCCGGTGCAAGAGACTAATGATAGCAGGGCATGACTTACGATGAAACCGATCAAAAAAGTAAAGAGTCCTTCGATCAGGAATAAATAGAACCATCCGGGTCTACCACCCACTCCTCTCATTGTGAGGATACCAGCAGCAAGCAAAGCCGAGATCACTCTCGCGATGTTGAGTGTGGACCAAAAACAAGCGAGACGAACGGATAGTTCCTTTGACGTGTAGAAATATGTTGCGAAGAGAATGGTACCAGGAATGAAACCACCTTCACAAAGTCCAATGAGGGCACGAGTGATGTAGAAAGATGTGCGATCGTGCATCCAAGACTGAGTCCAGGCTATTGTGGTAGTGTCAGTTATGTTATTTTCTCGACTCATGAGGCTTTCAGGTTTTTTTAACTTACAGACGGTACCCCAAAGCATCATCATGATTGGGAGAATATGTTTAAATCCATAACGCTTGGTCAGGAACTGGACCGGAAATTCTGCTGTCATAAAACACATCAATTGAATCGTATTTCCCTAACAAGTTGTAAGTACTTATACCAATACATTGAAACTAGGGGAGAGAATGAAACTTACATTGTTGTAGTCATCGGTAGTAAGCTTCAAATCGTTCAGTATGCCATCCGCTGTAGCATTGGACAGATTTCCTCTATCAAGTTGCAATCCGAAAAACTGAATAGAAGATCAATAATCAGTGTAGCAATCAAGAGAGGAAAATCCTTACCATGACGCAAATCCACACCAAAAGATAAAGATCAGTCTTTCGGACTACCTTTCTTTCCTCTGCTTCCGTCCATGTAGCAGCTGGGTCATATCGATGAGCTCCTTCATATAATTCATGAGGTGGGAGTGCATCAGCTAATGCCTCACGGCCGACATTGGTCACAGATATTTGTGATCCAGTGTCTGAAACCACCTTCCTCGATGTGTCTTTACTTCCCTCCATATTGTCAATTGAAAGCAAATCAAGCAGAGCAAGTGCTACAATTGTCGGTTTTGACTTGAAGAAAGAATTCAATTGAGCCGAAAATAATCCAATAGGAAGAAGTATCCGGTACCTATCTTAGTATTTAAACAAGTCCATCCCATGACACTTGATGGACCATACCCCATTCTTATCCTTGGGACGTTATCACCGCGGTGACTTTCAATCAGCAAATTTCATTTCATAACGGAAGGAATTTCCAGATGCAAATGATAGATCCGCGATTTCTTTGCATTTTTGGTAAAATTCGAATGGTGACATATCACGCAATTGGATTCTGACCGGGGTGTGTACACATTGCGGGGTTCTGACCAACAAGATGCCATGATGTGATGGCATTCGAATTATTCCGTACCTCGGGAACTTTATTGATACGAAGATAATAAATATGTTAATTATATTAGGAGCTTAGGATTTTGTTTTCTTCTTTCTTTTTTCATTCTGCTGCATATAATTTCAGTGTATATATTTTTGTTTCCATTTTTAGACGAAACGTTCACGCAGGGTGAACAAAATAGTAGCTATCATGCCTTCCGTCGACTTCATCAACGTTACCGCGAAACCAGTTCTGGAAAATGAAGATGAAATAGCTCGTACAAGATGTACCAAGCCTTTAGTGAACAATGGTGTATTGGATCAATTTGAGCACTCGGACTTGACACCGGTAATTGGAAGAGTATTTGATGAGAAGGTTCAATTGAAAGAGTTTCTTTCGCCGAATACCTCCGAGGAATTGTTTAAGGATTTGGCGTTGACAAGTAGGTTCAATATCTTTCCGTGATGTAGGAATATTGGTATTAATGACGATGTGATAGTCTCCAATCGTGGTGTAGTTTTCTTCAAAAATCAAGACATAAATCCTGAGCAAATGAAAGCTGTTATCGAACGTATTTCTAAAGCAGCTGGATCTGTAAGTTATTCTTCCCCTCCTAATTTATCAGGAAAAAGATCTTCTTCCTCGTCTTCATCGAATGTGGTTCCGAAACGTCTAACATTTACCTCAGCCTGAATCCTCTACACTTCACATCCACCCCCTCACCGAACAATCCTCCGAACTGGGTGATCAAGTCTCCGTAATCTCTTCCACGAAGCAAGCCAAAGGCGGTGGATTAACTCACCAATTGTCCGACGTATCTCGATTTGCTAGTACTGGATGGCATGCCGATATCACATTTGAACGAGTCCCTTCCGATTATGCCATGTTGAAAATCCATACCTTGCCTGAAACAGGTGGTGATACTTTATGGGCATCTGGAAACGAAATTTATGAAAGACTCAGTCCAAAGATGAAGGAAATGTTGGAAGGATTAACGGCAACTCATGATGCGAGCTTTTTCCATGATGAAGCAAGGAGACTCGGACAAGATATTAGAGAAGATATGAGAGGGAGTCCATTGAATATTGGAAAAGAGTTGAGTGCTGTTCATCCGGTTGTTAGGACAAATCGTAAGCTGCCTCTATTCTTACTATTTTTCTCTCATTCTCTCTTCCACAGACGCTGGATGCATCATTCATAGTTTAACAACTAACACACAACAGCCGTAACTGGCAGGAAATCTCTTTTCGTAAACCAAGGCTTCACTCGACGTCTTCACCCTCTCACAAAAGACGAATCGGATCTTTTACTTCCATGGTTAAAGAATCTGGTACCCTTGAATCACGATGCGCAAGTCAGATGGAAATGGAGTAAGAATGATGTAGCGATTTGGGATAACAGGAGTAATTGGCATTGTGCTACTTATGATTAGTAAGTTCCTCTTGTCTTTGGTCGGGTGGGATGATGTATTTGGCATGGTGGGTTGGGACATGAGAGGGATTGAGTTGATCGGGGATCATTGCTTTGATGAAAATTGGTATCAAGAGATAAAGACTAACGTTTGATAATTTAGTGCAGAGGCGAGAGCAGGCGATAGAGTTTGTAGTTTGGGAGAGAAGCCTTATTTATAAAAGGTTTAGGCATAGAAAAGGACTCTAGGAAGTGGAATCGAATAATTGAAGTCGAAAGATATAAATAGGTGGATGCATCTAGGACTCGAGGTCATTGGGTGTCGATCATTATTGGCTCTTCGGAATCGTGGGTCAAGAGTTCGAATTGTCTAACTAGTATCCTATCAATTACACCAGCGAGCATATACAATACTGTATAAATTACATTCAGCTCTCGATTGTTTACACATCAAATCATTGACACAGGAGGCCCCGGCACGTAAGGACTCGCCTTTAATCACCTGCTGTAATCTTCATTCTCCGAGGACATCCTAATGAATGAATGGACTGGGCCTTTTCTTTTGATGAAAATCACACATCCAATTTTACTGCTAGTAGTCTCCTCGTGTACTATTGTCATTTCCGATAGCCTCTACGCACTATCCATCTTTACTTCCGCCTGTACACCTTTCTCCCTTCCGTTCCTTGATCGCACGAAACAACCACTCAAGCAAAACTCTACAGGTTTATCCACCTACTGCGTGCATATGGAAAATCGAGTTCTAAATCTTTCCACGTATGGTGGATAGTGAATAAGACATCAGCCCCCTCTACGAAGCCAAACTCAAACTCAAACTCAAACTCAAACCAACAAACGCGAATCTTTCATAGAAGAGAATAGGTAAATACCACAGTGAGCAATTCACTTTATTAGAATCCATCCATCAAAACATACGATCCACTCTACAATTTCACAGATATATAAACATTCCATTCCTCCCCCAATCTATTTTTTTCTTCACTTCTCAGCTGTATATCCCTCGAGAGCATTGGGCCCTAGGACTCACTTGACTGAACTGTGAGGGAGCGATATAGGTCTAAATCACGGAAAGATTTTTAGTTTAGTTTTTATCAATAATGAGTTCCTATGTACTTACGTCAATATCGATTTTCAAGATGTGAAAGGAGAAGCGAAGCGCACAGTTTATTCTTGACAGATGTTGCTATTGTTAGAATATATTATTGTCGTTTTATTTCATGTTATGTTATTGCTCGCTGATTGTCATGGAGAGGAAGAGTCACTATCATATATACATACATACATACATACATATATACATACATACATACATACATACATACATACATACATACATACATACATACCCCTACAAATCAGGATACTATTATCTGATACGCATTATTTCCGAGTATTCTCAATACCGCAATCGCTTTACATCCATTCCATTCATCCCATCCATCCCATCCAATTCCATCCCGTCTCAACTCGATATCTATCCATCCATCCACACAAAACACACCCCTCCAAATAAAACCACCCAACTAAATATATTAAGCATTAACAACAACAATGCATAACCTCAACTATAATCTACCCGCTATCATCTCACTCTCACTACTACTAACAAAAACAAAAAACAACTCGCAACTCTAGCTATGGATTTGCTCATCCAATATCGTGGGATTATCCATATCCAAGGAGTTCGCTTATTCACTATCAGCGGCCCCGCGTCCCTTTTACTTTTCTTCAGCATCTACCTAGGTAGGTATGATATGCTTGCTCTTCAATCTGACCGACGTATCAACAACTTCTCGTTTCATTAGTCTGCTCTCGAACAATTTTTTTTGAAAGAAATGTTGAATCTATTTTCTCGACCACAACCTCGTCTATCGTGTAATCTCTCGACGCGGCGGGCGATCCCTCAAAGTTACATCTCCTCGTCTAGCTTCATCAATGAGTATCACGCCATAGTAATTGTCGTATTAATCCTTTAATCTATAATGGGAACCTAACAGTAGTATTGTCTTATCTCATGTATACACGCTCCCGTATAGCTACAACGCCAGACATTTACCCCAAGAAGCGGGCAGTAGATAATCGCCATATAGCATGTTTTTCATGCAACCATCGCAGTGCCGGAAATATCAGTAGAAGTGAACCCAGAGCACTCCATTTCATTTGACCTTTTCCCCTCACCCAGCCCAAGCGCCTATGATTAACCAAGAGATTTCCCGAAGAAAGGCTAGAAGATTCATCTGCAAACTCAACCCCTACAACTCATCCCCCATCTCTCTCTCCAACCCCACTCCGCCCCTTTCTTCCTCTAGATTGGCGATCAGCGCATCCAAACCCTCATCACTGAGTCCACCTTCTCCTTCATCCACCCCCAAATCCCTAACAATTACCCTCTTATAAAGTTCTCCCTCATCCCCACCACCTGCAACTCCAAGCGCTCCAATATATTCCCCTACCAACGCCCTTCTCCTCTCGATTTCCTCTTGAAGCTGTTGAGCTAACATGATCCTCTCATTTTCCCCTTCCTCTAAATCTGCATTTCCACTAACTTGACCCCCTCCATGACCATTTATTTTTGATCCTTCATGTTGTGTGCGGGAAAGAAGGAGAAGTTGTTGTTGTCGCTCTACTAGACTCTGAACTCTTTCTTGTAAACCGACCAGATGCGCTTTTGCGGCAATGGAATTTTCTTCACCCTCCTCTTCTTCCGCCAATTGTCTAGCTTGCTCCCTAACCCCCGCTAATTCCATCTTCACCCCTTCTAAAATTCTCTTGCTATCTGCCTCTGCATTTTCTTTTTCTGCTAATTCCTCATCAAAGCTGCAAGCTAATGCATGTAACCTTTCCAGTAAAATCGGTTCCGCATTGTTTTTCAGAGTCATTGCTGCTTCTGAGATGTGGGCAACCCCTCGAGGATTTTCCTGTTCAAGATCGTCATAGTGAGAAATATGACGAGCCGAGTCTGGTGCAAAAGGCGAAGAAGAAGCGGCTTGTTGGTGTCTTTCCGATCTACGGGAGGCGTTCAAGTCTTGAATTATTTCTTCGGCCGTCTCGCCCATATCATTTAGAATATCTGTTGAAGCACCACGACCCATTAAAGCTCGTACACATTTGCGGGCTTTATTTTTGGCCGCAATATGAATCGCTGTATTCCCATTAATATCTCGAGCATCTAGTAATCTTTGAACCTCATCTGGATGATAGATTTCGATAAATTTTTCTAAAAGAACATCCAGATAATATTGAGCGCATCTGAACTTTTGCTTCATATTAGTAGTCGCTGCTGCATGATGAAGAACTGTAGCTCCACATGAATCTACTTCGTTGGCAGTACCGATCAATTCCTTAACAATCAAAGGAAAATTCTGCTTGTCATAAGAATTTGTGAAAAGGACCGATCTAATGAGTGGAGTTTCTTGACGACTGTTCCGACAAGTTGTATTCGCACCGAATCTCTTCAGTTGTTTTAATATATCCACATCACCTATTGATGCGGCCCAATGTAAACCCGTATGACCATCTGTGTCGATAATGAAGTTAGGCTCGAAATTTATTGGTGGTTCGGGTCTTCTGTCTGTCGAGTTCGCATCGGTGGGAGGTGCCATGAAATAATCCAAAAGTTCATCAGCCCACATAAGATGAGCTTGTGCTCGAACATCCACGGGGTCTTCTTCATGGAAATCATCTCTTTCACCTCTTTTGCGCTTTCGATGCCCAGTAGGTGGTTGAGACATATCGAATCGATCATCTTCTGCCATATATGTAGCGGAAGCGACTGTAACATCATCTGGCACACTTTCGTCGTCATTTAATTGAGTGCTAATGTTATCGTAATTCTCTTCGACTTGGCGGGCGACTGCTGCTTGTTGAATAGGTACCGGTTCTGTGCTGTTAGTACAATCTACCAAACTTCAAACCGGGAAACTTACTGGCTCCCCATTTGGGGACTGCTGGTTTCTTGACCTTTGGCTTATTCGTGGCATGTTTTGGTGCTGGAGGTGGACTAAATTCACCAGGTGTATATTCGAAGATCTCCCGGAGTTTCTCATATATATTGTTTCTTTGTGCCAAAGATTGACCCTTTTCAAGAGGAACCCAAGTACCTTATTGATTTTAGTCTTGCCAAACTCTTAAATTTCTGGTGCATGCCAACCTTGATATTTCCCATATCCACCTTGAATCTTCTCATGTTCTTCCTTCTGAACCTCTCTTTCAAGGATTCTTGTTCTGGCAGGTTTATCGAATCCAGCAGCTTTCAAAATATGTGTCGCGTTAATCCAATCATCTTGTCGTCTTCGCATTACTGTGTAAGAGTTAGTGACGTCAAGTTCAAGGCTGAGAGTAGTATTTCAATTACCATGCTCTTTGAGAGCCTCCCCGAACAAGTACTCATACACCGGAACCTAATCAAGTCAGCGACAAGAAAGAAGCAGACAAAGTTTAGCGCATCCGAGCAGGTATACATACATTGCTGTAAGTAGCAGAGTAAATTCCTGGTCCAGATTTGGCTCCAGTGTTGACCATATTGTCACCTTAAATGGGTCCCTGTCAAATGGAGGGGTTTGCGAGTGTGCGAATAGCAAGTGGTTGTTGGGATTGTTTAATACCCACTAAGCAAATGTGTAAATATGGAGAGCGATCACGATTATGTTGCAAATATCGGCGCTAGATAAATTCAGGGCAATTGATCCCGATTCTTGATATAGATGCACAGGGTGAGGTTGTGAAACTGTAGCAATCTGAGAAATTGATTGTGGGAAGACGCGACGATGTTCAGGATGACGCGAAGCGCGTTGATTCTGGACCGGTATCTAACCGAATGTAGGAACAGCCGACGCTGTTTTAACGAGTCCTCAATATCGTAAAGTAATAAATCTAATACAAGCTATGGATGGGATGAGACAAGACTGATGGTGAGTAGCATAAAAGTTCAAGAATTGGTAGGGCCTGATTTGTCTTTTTTGAAAGGTTGAGTGTTCTTATAAATGGACTCGGTCTTAACTATCACATCGTTCAGTATAGAATGAATCACAAGACTGCAATCTTTAATGGCTTCTCAGTACTAAATAGCATTACGGATGTGAGCTTTAGGTGGTTCTTTGCTTCTTGTCTTGTTTCTACGAAAGCAACCGTATATCTCGGCGCTAATCTAAAAGTAAATCTACTCTATGCCTATACTCCAAATAGTGCCTTCCTAGTATCATAATCATACTTCAAATCCAGGTGCCAATAATTTGGTGTATCTGCTATACAAACCTTCCAAGCCTCATCCAAAACTTTCACTACTTCTTCGGGCAATGGTCCCTTCTCACAATCTTTGAGATTTGAATCTAATTGTTCAATGCTGCTCGCTCCCATGATAATTCCATCGTCCCCATCCAAAACATTCAGTGCACTGTGGTGTATACACCATCGAAATGCAGTCTCCACCATTGTCAAGTTGTATTTTTGAACAACTGGTTCGATCAATTTCAATGCAGCGAAGTTCGATTCCTTCCAATAGCGTTTTCTGTACATTTCACCCAACTTTCCCACAGCATCGCTATAGCGTCCACTGGTTGGGATCTCTGATGACTTGTAGGCTCCTGAGAAGAGACCACCTGCGATAGGGTTGTAAATGACGACGGAGATACCGTAGCGCTTACAACATGGAATGAGTTCAGAAGCCAGGGAACGTGTAATGGCGTTGTACATTCCTTGGTATACGGTTGGCCGCACCCAATTGTTGTATTTGCAATGCATAACTATTTCTGAAACCTCGAAGGCTGTGAAGTTTGAAAGTCCTAGGTTGACAAATTTGCCTTGTTTATGGAGTTTGTCGAGAGCGGCCAATGTCTCTGTAAAGGGCGTTGCACGATCCTACATGTCACTATCAGTACTCTTTCATATTTCGTATGACTGAGATGAACCAACAGCAGCGTGCAAATAGAATATATCCACACAGTCTGTCCCCAACTCTTTCAAACTCGTCTCGAATCTATTCGTTATTTCTGCTTCTGTATGCAATCCCGCTTCTGTGGGGTAGACTTTCGTGGCCAATGTCAAGCCCCTTTCTTGCCATTTTGCTTCGCGTGTAAACGCTTCTTGCTTTCCTCCAACATATGTACGTGCGGTATCGACTTCATTGTATCCGGCGCCTTGAAAATGGTCGAGGAAGGTGTTGTATTCATCTAATGAGGTTATGCGTGCGCCGGTGGATGGGTCTGGACCAAAGTTCATCAGACCAAGAATTATTCGAGGTTTGGGGTTAGTAGCTATGAGAGGCATGTTGAGGAAGTGGATTGAAAAGGGATAATGGTTCTTGGTTGACGAGTGAGTGTAACAGTATTCTTGCTCTTCAAGAGTCAAAGTGAAGTTTTGAATGTAGGATTAGACGTTGGGTAAGAATACTGTATGATACTGCGTGAAGATGAGCATTCACATTCCTGTACAGAGTAGATAGCGGTAGTAAAGAAGGGAAGGTTGACTGTAGTGACGCCATTCTGTTCAACCCCGCATCACTCACCCCACCTTCACCCTCACCATCACGACAAACACCGACGTACGAAGTCATACATCGGTGATACATTGGATATTTGATATTGGATATTTGATATTTGATATACATCTGGAGGGGACACAGAATTCATTGAATTGAAGCCGAGGTTGGAAATACTGGTAGTATCTCAGGTTTGCATGAGACGAGTTGTGTGCATGCAATATCATGCCAATAATCTTGGATGAAGGCGGAAAGTTTCTTTGATGATAAGGTCGCCGGTTATGCTTTGCACTTTCTCATTTCACCTATAGCACCATGCTATGATCAAAGGCTTAAGGTTATATGGCCTTTCCCGTACAAGCCGATCGTTCTCGAACGCAAGTCAATGAAAGTTTGATAGAAGAAGCTATTAGGTAGTGGTAGTGGTGGTAGTGGTAGCCGGAGAAGAAGAAGAGATATGAGTAGGTAGGTAGGTAGATGTAAGATGTTGCAGGATTCAACCAACGATCACCTATGAATGCCTACCTAGCCCTTTTATACATCTTACATCTCCAACGCCTACCTAAGAATTCATAGTAGTTGTACATTAATCTCTTTCTACACTTCTTGTACTTCTGATGATTCTCTGTACAACGGTACTATTGTTACCTACCTACCTACCTACCTACCTACCTCAACCTACCTCAACCTACCTTTTAACCAGCAAGCATACCATTTGGCCCATTCTACCCAACCAACCACCCACCCACAACACCCACCCACGACACCCACCCACAACATCACTACCTATTTATATATCCAAAGACTTTGAGTTCTCTTGGGTAACTTGCACCACATTATGAACCAGCTGGTCGGATTGAATTAATTAAATCGAGGTCTTTTGATTCGTTCTTGTGGGGTGAGAATTTATCTGATATCTGAGAATTCTTGATTCAGTCAAACATTCAGGGTCTTCTCCAGGGTCTTCTCCAGGGTCTCCCTCACTCTCTGCTTCATATCACCTATCCACTTCTATACGACACCAATTACAACGACAACCCCATATCCAGATCCAGATCCATTTGCTTAAAGAATGACGACAACAAATTCGCATTGATTGGCCCTTCAAAATTCTCCTTTTATGCAATCGATTCCTTTTTACTATCTACTTCACCCACGATACAGGTACTATCGTTAAAATCGCCAATAAAAAATTAATTCACCTCAATATTCCGAAGCAAACCCACTCACGAAATCCACCCTGTCAGTCCTGATTCGAGATTGTCCATTTCATATCTTATTTTGATTGTTCCGATATCAACCATTCTCCTCTACACTTAAACGTATCATTTCACCCACCTGAATCGCATGTATGTCTTATAGGAATCACCAGACATCCTCCAGTACACATGAATTAAATTCAGTAACCGCATTACAAAACAACTCGTGGAAGACCTCGAATCCCATATCTGGAAATTCGTCAAGGGTATCCTCTCGCAGTCCTACCGTTCAGACTCACGACTTCGCACATAACACACAAGAAAGAGAAGTGTCACCAATTAGTCCATTGACCGACGAAGAAGAAGCAGGTTCCGATTTAGAATCCGACAACGACATGGAAGGACGAAGACCTACATTACACCGTCCTACAGATGGCCGTTCACATCAACCCTTATTACACAAAAATGATGATCCCGAGAGGGGGAGGTTAGCATACAATGCTTCTCAAGATCCACCCGAACGTCCTACATTTTCAAGACGATCTACTATGCGAAGTCGTAGTCCGGATACTCAAGCAAAATTAGATACGAGAAAGAAATATACATATGCAGCCTTCTTTTTGGGCTTGAGTTTGATTAGTTTTGTTATACAAACCGAAACGGCTGTGTATATACAACATCAATTAGGGTGGAATAAAGCATATTGCATGTTGTAAGTGGTGGCGCCTATTTCACAAAATATCAAACAAAACTAAATGGATACTCTAGATACTTTACTCACGGATCATGGTCATTACTATGGCCTACTCAACTTTTAATATTGCGATTACAAAAATGGAAAATGCCATGGAAGACATTCTGGAGAAGACACGTATATCTCATTCGAACAACCGCACAAATGGTAGAGTCAGGACAACTAGACGTTCCGCGAGGCCAACGATCTCCCATTCCATATATGCTCAGAATGACCGCATTCGTTACATGCGCTCTTACAGTTGCTGGTGGATCATGGTACGTGGCAGTGAATTTAACATCGCCATCTGATCTCACGGCTATATACAATTGCTCAGCTTTCTTCGCATATGCATTCAGCGTTCCCCTTTTGAAAGAACCCCTGAGATGGGATAAATCTTTTGCGGTTATGGTCGCGATCGTTGGAGTTTTGATCGTCGCATATGGAGATTCTACGCCGACGAAACATGGAGGGAAGTCTGGAGGCTCAGTAGGCGGAAAGCCTGGCGATGAAGGTGATGAGGCATCAAATAGAGTTTTGGGAAACCTTGTTATTGGTGTTGGCAGTGTTTTATATGGGTTTTACGAAGTTTTGTATAAGAAATTGGCTTGCCCCCCAGAAGGAACAAGTCCCGGGCGCGGCATGATATTCGCAAATACATTCGGCTCACTAATCGGCTCATTCACTCTTCTCGTTCTCTGGATTCCTCTCCCAATTCTTCATCTCACTGGACTCGAAACCTTTGAACTTCCCCACGGCGAAGCAGCTTGGATGCTTGCCATTTCCGTCCTCGCAAATGCGACTTTCTCTGGAAGTTTCTTGGTCTTGATTAGTCTTACAAGTCCTGTTCTAAGTAGTGTCGCTGCACTATTGACAATTTTTCTCGTCGCGATTGTGGATTGGGCATTCACAGGGGTACCATTGAGTCCGGCAGCTATTTTGGGGGGTTTGTTGATTATCGTGGCATTCTTGTTACTCAGTTATAGTACATTCAGAGAGATGCAAGAGGAGAGGAGAAAGAGAGAAGTAGATCTGAGTGAGAATGATTCGGATAGTGATAAATTCGATGATTAGACAGACGTCCTTCGCCGGACTGGTGGTTTATAAGGCGGGTGGCTTCTTTATATAGGATAGGATTGCATTACATTTGGATTGGATAGATCCATTTGGGTTATAGGATTGTTTTTTGGGCACGTAACCCAGGTATTGGGAACAGCGTATAGGTATAGGCCAGTCGTATGGCAACTTAGAGTTTGCATCCAGATGGCGCAGGCGTTTTTTGACATCTTGTCGTACCTTTCAATGGAGAATTGATGAGGTTTTGTTTCTGGTCAACTTAGTTTTCGTGACTTGCATGTGAAATGTGAATTGTGCTGTGTATGTATGTGTATGTATGTGCATGTATATCTTTCAAAGTTTGAAAGTGTCTCGCTCTTTAAATACCTTGAAGCGACATGCTGTGGGCCGGGGAAAGGAAAGGGAAAGTAATCTCTTCTGGCTCTCCCTTACTGACACTGGAAAAAGAAGAAAAGTAATACAGCACAAATCGCACATCAAGATAACTTGATCACTTCACCAATGGATTTTGTGATGAATGGTTTATTAGATGATATAGTCAGTCGTTTAATCTTAACGAAGAATTCTATATACAACAGAGAAGTAATAACCATATACTAGTCAAGGTTCTCAAAGATACACGTTTCCATCTCATCCCAAGAGCCAAAATTGCACAGCATATATACACCTATCATTTTATATACATCCAATCCAATCCAATGCAAACCAATCATCTCATTCCACCTCCCATAGTTCTCCATAGCATTCAACTCTCCACTGCTCATGGTTCCCCGGGCCAAATCTCCTCAGCCAATCTCCTCACCAACTTTAATTTCTCAACCATATCGCCCCTCTCCATATTATTCCCATCCGAATGACTCGCAAATCCACACTGGGGACTCACACCTATCCTCCTCAACGCATCGTCCCTCGTCTCTTGATTCCCTTCCGCGATCTTATCCGCCGCTTTGAACACCCGCTCTTTCAGATGCTCCAGAGCCTCCATTTTCGGAAATTTGCTCGTGATTAATCCCAATATGACGTTTTTATTCTTGGGGAGGTGGGCGAGAGGTTCGAAGCCTCCTGCGCGCGCCGTGTCGTATTCGAGGTAGTAGGTGTTGACGTTGAGATCTTGGAAGAGTTTGGTCGCGATCACATCGTATCCGCCTTCGGAGAAATGTCTCCCGTTTACGAAATTGCCGCGACAGAGATGGATGCCCACGTGCATATCTTCGGGACGGTCGCGCAAGCAGTCGTTGTAGAGTTGGATGTAGGAATCGAAGAGGGCGGTTGAGTCTTCGCCGTCTTGTTTGAAGCCCGCGAGCATTTTCTCCGAGCAGAAGTAGGCGAGATTGGGGTCGTCGATTTGGATGTTGCGCAGGCCGGCCGAGTAGAGGATGCGGAGTTCTTCGCGGTAGGCGGTCGCGATGTCGGCGAAGTATTCGGTGTCGGAGGGGTAGATCTCTCGGGGGTATGCGTGTCCGGTTTTGTAGCGGAGATGATACCAGTTTGGAGCTGCGAGGGTGATTTTTGCTTCTGCGATTTTGTCGGCGGGGAGGAGATTTTTGAGATAGTTCCATTGGGAGAGGTAGGTGCTGCCGATGTGTTTTATTTTGCCCGTGCAGTAGACGGATTCACCGGGTTTGTGACCTTCTTCGAGGAAGGCGTCGATGTCGGGGACGTAGCGGCGGAAGGATTCGAGAGGGGGGTTTTGGATTTCTTCGAAGCCTTGAAGGCCGGGGAAGAAGGTACCCCTTATGTTGAAGATTAGCGTGGGCATTTCTTGTATTGTGTTGAATTGAAGGCTGGGGTGAAGGAAAAGGGAGAAGAGAAAGGGGGAGAAGAGAAGGGGAAATGGAATGATATGTAGTAACGTACCAGAACATATGACGACGATATTCTCCATCTGTTACAGCGTGAAAGCCCAAGTCTAGCTGTGCTTGAACGATTTCATTGATAGATACATCCTCTACTTTTGTCAAATCTTCTTTGGGAACATTACTTTTTCCGTTGTCGAGAGCATGTTTGATGGATAAGAGTTGGTCTGGGCGAAGTAGAGATCCGAGATGTTCTGCTCGGAAAGGAGGATTGCGATGAAGCTTTTCGGAAGACATATTTACTGAGTCACTGAGGTGAGTAAATGCTGAAGCTTGAAATATGAGTGAGAATGGAAATTGGATTTGTATAGCAATGAATGTGAGGCAATTGAGCTGTATTTATATACTTATATCAGGTCAGCTGCTGGACCCTCACTCAGCCGCGACAACTTGTTCAACTGCCCCTCCCCAACTTTCAATCATCCCCGCAACAATTGGAGATCTAACTGTTGATCGACCAAGCTCGACATAAAGTAGTTTAGTTCCCCGCTTGGTGATACCTTAGTAAGGGCTAGCCATGCAGGCCCGAATCAGATGGACTTGTAGTCAACTTCTTTCCATGACATAAACAAGCCATCTTGCAGAAATGGCACTTGTAACTCGGAGTTGGGTTAGCAATGGCTGTTGTAGATATCAGATGGTTTTAAATAAGGCGTTGAGATATCGTAGACTTCTTTTAATAGTTCTTATACGAATGTAAATTGAATTCCAGAAACTATCAATACGTATGAGTCTCTCCCCTCTTGATACCTGGCCCACACGGGAACGACCTTCCCCCTCATTAGTGGCAAGCGATATATGTCATATATCTGTAAGCAATCCCCCCTGTTCTTTGAAAATGCCGGTTAAGTGAATCGACCTACCTGGTATTCATCAATTACCTGCATATTCGATTACAAGCTTACGATAGATATATTTAGATAATACCTTGGAGAGATATGAGAGGCTGTATTCCGTGAACGGCATCCGTTTCCTTATTGGAGGTCCAGGAGAGATCCGAAAGCCGTTGCTGACATACATTTCCTTTTTGGGTATGTACCTAGGTAGGTAGCGATTTGCTCCATTATTCAAATCCACAATTCAATTGAGCGAACTATTGGAAACAACCTGTTCAATTCAATAACCATCTTGAGTCTTCATCCCTTCAACCTCCAACATCCACGAAAATGACTTCTAATCTTCCTCCTACAAACTCAAATGGTCTCGAGGATCTTACAATCGACAAATATTCTACAGAAGTACCATCCCTTCAGCCTCAGACCAATCAATCAGGAGATACCCTGATATCCCACGTTACTCCACATACAATACCTGGAGCCGTTACGAAGCAAGGTCCCACCATTGAAGATCTTCCCAATGAACTTCTAGTCAATATCTTCAGTCATTTGGATATAGAGCCTCCATCGTATTCCCATACGACACTTCATGATGAGCCAACCTTGGAAGTTACAAGCTCCGAGATCCAAGACCTCAAGAATTGTTCTCTAATTTCGAATCGATGGAGACAAGCTACCTTACGATTACTATTCAAGCATACACGATATATCTTGAAATATTCAGAAGATGATTACAGACCGATTCTCAATGATCTTACAGGACCTTTTCGTCAATTTATTCGTAAAGGATCTTTTGCGGATATTGTATCAAGCTTCACCTTGGTAGTTCGGGAGAAGACGATATCAAATTGCCATGATGGCCGACCTCGATTATGTGAATTTGATGGGTTTTGGAAACGTCTCTTTAACACTATTGATCCGTCAACGGTTTTGATTGCTGCACCTGTCGAGGCTCTTGCTTCTTTGACTTCATCTACCATTAATGACGTGGATTCATGGGTTTTCGACATTGAATGTCACTATTTGCGATTGCAAAGACCCGATTCCAAAGAAGTAGTCCTTACGGAGATTGAGGACTTGCCTGAAGAAAGTGGTCCCACCATATCTGATCCTTCACTTCCTGGGACATCTCTGAATTCAGACTATTATTTTGACGATCGCTTGCACTATATTTGTCCTGCAGGTCGTGTTTCTGCCAAGTCCTCCGGATTCTTTCAAATCAGATCTTGGACATCCTTACTCTTAAATGAAGGATCGAATTTAAAAGCCTTCAAGACGGATTTGTGGTGGGAATTAGAGACTCCATCTGTAAGTAAATCACCATTATAAAGTGGAGGTATTCATCTAACTTTCAATAGATATTAAGAAGTCTTGTCGGAACTCAATCAGGTACTTTACCCTTGATTAATTCTGGCATTCGTTCCATGAGATATATTGCTATATTTCCAATAACAGCTCAATTTGAATGTCTCGCTCAAGGATTACCAAGACTGGATCATTTGTATTGTCAACTGGTACCACGAAATGATGCTTTAGAAGATGAAGAATTAATGAAGAAGATTGATGTGGAGGATCTTTGGATGGAGAGAAATAATTGTTATGCTCAATTAATGCGAGAAATGTTCAATAATCCACCCGAAGGAAATTACAGATATCTGAAGACTTTCGAGTCAGGAGATGCTGCAGATACAGATGCATGGCACATGGCAGTAGAGTTTGTAAAGCGGGCTGGAGGAGGATGGAAAATAACAGGTGATGGAGTATTTGAAAGAGATACGGGGATTGAAGATAGTTCGTCTAATGCACCGAACGCTTCGCCATTGTTAGTAACTTGAGGGAGTTGGAGAAGAAACGCTGATCAGTATTAGTCCGGATGAATTGTATAGATGGGCATGGAATGGCTTGACCAATGTACCTGTTTCACCGGTACCATGGTATCGATGATTGGTGTTGAAGACGTGAGGTGAGGTATATTGGGTACATGGAAAACAGAGAAATGTTCAAGGAAAGGGATGTTTAATACTATGGGCCCATGAAAACACAAGAACAATCATCCGTAACAAAGGCCAGTGAATGGATACGATTTATAGAAATTTATAACAATATCAAGCGCCACAAATTCTACGATGGTGAACCAAAAGTATAAAAAGTTGGCAAACGTCAATGTTCCTCAAGCACTCGAACAATAATTTGTCTCACCGCCTTAATAATTCTGCCATATTGACTCAATATCAAGCTCCGAACGCGATAACCTCAACCTCATCTACTTCTCTACCATGTAACAGCCATGTCCCGCAAAGCGCCCAAAGGCGAATATATTGAAACCGTAAGCTATCCTCACCTTTTTACCATGTTCTCTCCCCCGCTTTAACCTTGACTTCCTATCTCATCCTCAATCCAAGTACTAACCCCCTCCAGGACACCGGCAACAAAGTCTCTCGTCGTTCCCAAATCATCGGCACAACGAACATTATTCTCGGTGGTAAAACCGTCATCCAAGCAGAAGTCATCATCCGCGGTGACTTACTACGCACATTACCTCCCAGTACCCAAGGAGAAAAGGCGGGAAATGCAGTTGCGGTTGCGATTGGGAGATATTGTTTTTTCAGTCGCGGGTGTGAGTTGAGACCGCCGGGGAAGATTTACAGAGGGTTTGTTTTCTTTCTCTCATTGCTCATTGCTCATTGCTCTTTGTTTCTATGGCATTTTAGTATCTTGTGAATCATACTAATGAGATTTGGACAACAGAACTTTCTCGTACTTTCCCCTCAAAATCGGCGACCATGTTTTCGTAGGGCCCGGCTCCATAATCGAAGCTGCGATGTTGGGAAATCATGTTAATATTGGTGCGAATGTGTTGGTGGGAAAGTTTGTGATAGTGAAGGATTTTGTGAAGATCCTGGAGGGGACGGTTGTTCCGCCTAATATGGTGATTCCTAGTTTTAGTGTGGTGGGAGGGTGTCCTGGGAGGGTTGTGGGGGAGGTGGCGGAGGGGGAGATTGAGGGGATGGATTTGAGGGAGATTTATAGGGCGGTGAGAAATTAGAGGATTGGATGGGATGAGTGTTGAATGGGGAGATTGAAGACACGAGATGAGGAATGATGGCATGAATGATTATACGATTGTAGGATTGCAACAGAGATGAATAAGGGATAACGGCCTCGAAAGTCGGATTGAACCGTCAAACTTCAACATAGATGAGAGAAAAATGATACCCAAGTACTGGCGCACATTCATATAAATGGCCAGTGGTTTTACATGCTAAGGTTTTCTCATTCTTGACTTTCAGTCTTCTACCGTGTACCGTCCGTTAATGATGACATCTCATTATTTGCTTACGCTAATTCACAGCTTGGATGTGATTTTTCAAGAGCGCTCTATTCTTCAGGGTGACTAGTTCTCGAACCGAATATTTACAGTGGCATGTGCCATGAATCTTTTGCAAGCTCTACTTTATCGAGCTTGACTGTACTATCTTTAGTTGAGTTTTTGTGATGAGATAGCAACGCTCCATAATGGTCAAAGTAGCCGGATCAGATTTGCAATGCCTTCGATCATCGTTCCGTTACTTTGATGTGTAGAGGCAGGCGATGGTTTGTTTCAAATTGTTCAAAATATAGGAAAGGATTTGCGGATCCAACATTTCCGATGTGTATCGGTCGAGTTAAGTCGGAGTATCAGGATGTAGTAATGCCAATACCTTCCTGCTTTTCGGACTACATCGACCATAACGCTCTCTCCATTTCATGAATACTGTGTCGAAAACCCGCTTCTCTTTTCAAATGCTGGAAACACCTCTGGTAGAGAAGATAACCAGGCATGGATTTTTGACTCACAAAGGATGGGATGTATCGCCATGCCTGAAAGAGTGTATGTATAATAGCCTAAGGGTGCATACGCGAATATTGATACATCGAGAGAGAGCATCAAAGGCACTAGTACACGATCATAGCAATAACGAAATCTTACTCTGACGATGCAAAGCTGTTCAATACTCAGTCCTTGAAAAGCCAACCATCGTTCGTGGACTGGGGAACTTCAAGAGTCACATGTGCTATGTGGAGAGTGTATGAGGAATGAAAAAACCCTCTTAAAGCAAGCTGCTATGTCTGTACTGAGACTATGGTATATCCCCAGTAGCGCTATTTCCAACAGGCGGACAAGAATAAGGAAGGAGAGATACTACAGAAGCAACGTATGAAACAGAATCTGAAATACTACGGTCTGAAATATTAGGATACACTTTATGCATCTTCGCAGGCCGGAAATCTCAAAGATGTGCAAAAATGATCGCAAAGGACCCTTGAGTTGCTTTCAGATACTAGTAAAAGCAACAGGATCAATATCCAGACTTGCGGTTTGTGCATCATCTCGTTGAACGTGGATATATGATCGATTCTATCGAGGAGCATAGACGCCTGAAGATAACTAAAGAGAAAAACATCATTAGCAGTTACTTCGCGCAGCGAGTGACAAAACATATGCTTATCTATACGCAAAGATTGACATTCTGCGATCAACAAACTGCATGTATTCCTTGGCATATTTTTGATCTGTAGAAAGAGAACAATCCGAAATGAGACACAACCCCATACATACAACCCACTCCTCCTTTTAATTTCTGTGATCCTGAAATGGCTGCTCAACTTTGAGAACTCATTTAATAAAGAATCTCTAAACCCAGAATATCATCCTCAATTTTTCATCATAAGGTTGCGTTGCGTAGAAACCACAACAATGTCATTTCATGAAATATTCAAGATACATATCTCACCCAGTAACTCATGTTCTAAGTCGAGTAGGAATAGAATGCTCTTCGAGGGACGACTTAAATCTCTTCTAATATTTGCTAATGACAAAGAATATACGGGTATTATCCCAATAAATCTTTCTCACTGTTAAAAACTTCGGGTCCAGATTTCCGCATCAGTTGTATTCTGTACTACTACCAGTACCACCATGCTACTCGCTTACGCCCCTTCATCAAGAGATCTTGGTACAATCTGATTGATTGATATTGCAAACTTTGCATCTCTCTCCAAATCTACCTAAATTTCAATTTTAAGGAAAATCCTCGCATTCTCCAGTTAAAAAAGGCATGTCTGTCTCCCTCTCTCGACTTCATCCACAACCCACAATTCACAACCTTAAATTCACAACCCTCTTCTTTTTTTCTCTCCAGTCCTTCTCAGACACAATCTTCTCTTCAAATAAGCACTTCCACAATAAATCATCCACCAAATCCCCTCAATTCATCCCGCACATGAAAAATAAAGATCTAACACCACCCACCCACCTACCCACCAACTCAATCTCAATCTCATCCCCGCCTCCATCACGAACTCAAATAATCCCTTCATCCCATCCCTCCCCTTGCCCTCCACACCAGATAAAATAAATCCATGATCCATCCCTCGTCCACCCCACTTCATCACACCCTTTGAACCCTGAAAATCGACACCAACTACCATGATTTCTATCACGTCATGCCCCCCACTCCCATTCTCCACTATCATACTCCACTCCACTCCACTCCTCCATGATTACGAATCTCTCAGTACAACAGACAACTTCATGGCCCTCAGCGCGTCATTACTCCAGTCTCTAATCTGGACCCTCCCCTTGATGCGTTGGTGTCAATGGAAATGGTTGAAGGGTCTCAAGATTGACATCATCAAAGAAAACCAATTTTCACATAAACTACCGGCAATGCAGATTTCACAGGACAACAAATAGACAACACACAGTTTTTGAGTCCAAGATTTTGCCCGATTCAATTGATCCCATTTCCCTATCGCTACAATGAAATTTTCCTTCCCCTCCTTTTCTCATGCCGTGGTATCATCCATCTCCCATTACAATCCTTTGTCCCCCACCTATTTTCCCTTGAAACAAAAAAGTAATTCTAAGTAGAGCCGATCTAAATCTCATCTTTTCTCATTTATAGCATTCCGTCCCAAAATGAATGAGTGAAGTATACGTATAAACTCCAGTCATGAACAAGTAAAGAAGAAAAAGAAAACAATAACTCCCATCTAATTCCTTCGCTTGCCTGTTAAAAGAATGTAATGATTGCGCCCTCCTTTCATTTACCGCATATAGGCCTGGCAACCAGCGACCCCCGAACACCGACGCTTGCTATCTAGCTCCTAGCTTCCTTCAAGTACTAACACGATGTTCTGTCCACCCATCGCATCTCTAAAACAAAACGAATGAACTTTTGCATGTACATATATATACGAGTGTGGCGTATACCTATCTTCCCTCTAAACTCCCATCTATAAAACCCTGTACAAAATAGAACCCATCTAAAAACTAAACAATCCACTTCTCCTCTTTCCGAACGGATAGACGATTAACGCACTCAGAAAAAGGCCAACAGTGATCCCAATAGCCACTTGAATCATGCTATAACCAACATTAAACACAATCGTATTTAAATCTTCAGAATTTCCAACGCTAACGGAGCTTGTTCCATTAACTTTTGTCGTTCCATTCGCATACGACGTACTGTTGGTTATAGAATCGGCTGTACTCAAACCTGCAAGCAAAGAACCACTGGCAGCGAGACCAGAAGGAACTTGTACGAAAATAGCAGGTAATAGTGCAGCTGCTGCTACACCATGTCTGACTCTCGAATACAAATTGCCGAGCACACCTACAGCGAGAGCGCCGAGAGTATTGGAAATTTGTGCACTCGAAGGAAACTTCTTTGCGGAGAAAAAGTTCACAACATAGCCTGAGAATGAGATACCTAACATGACGGGCATCTGTTTGAATTTTGCCTGATTGATGACTGCTAGGCATAAAGTAAAGACTGGAACAAAACACCAGCGAACATATTGGTTCATTGGGGCGTCGCATGTAGTCTTACTGGTAGCGTTGGCATCCATAAGACCATAGACAGCGGTGCCAATAGTGATACCATATCCAAGGAAAAGAG